GATAGAAAATTTTAGCGCGATTGGCATTCTCCCTTTTTCCTTCTTCACACACACATATACACACGCGCGTGCGCGCGCGCATCAATATTCTAAGTGTTTTCATTTTAAAAAAGAAAAAATTCTGAAAAATGGTTCTAAAACCACTCATTCAAACTCTTTAAATAGAGATTTCTTTAAATAATTCTTTGTGTTATTTATTTCGATAAAGAAGATCTACTATATGGTAAATATTTTACACTATTAAAGTTCCAAAAATATTATAAGTAAAGAGATTAAAAATGAACTTTCTTTAAAATTAACTTTCTTTATCTCAGGATAGATATACATACATATTTTGTAATTTTAGTGACGAAGAAACCGTCCATACTAATAAAAAAGATCCTCTTTCTATGTATAATGTACTATATCTATTATTAATAAAAGTGCTATAATAATGCATATACTACTGCATAAAATAAAAAGTAGACAAATTTAAAACATCTAAATAGAAATGTTTTTTTATATTAGTTTACTAGGATTTGACGAAAAAAAGATAAAAATACTTAAAAGCATTTGAATATTAATGAAAGATACATTTTCCAATACAATTTAAAAATATTTTTTAAATACATTTTTTTATATTTTTTATAAAAAAATATTCTTGATTGTGATATATGTGTTATTTATTATACATGAATATTAGCATTTGTTGTATAAAGTCAATCAGATTTTTATAATTAATAATGCTATTTTGATTTATTTTCTATGCTATAAAATAGTTATTGCTATTTTATATAACTGCTATTTATTTATTTGTGAATAAAATAAAAAATATAGAAAAAAATGCAATTTAATGATTTTATATAAATTAATAATTATTATATATATTAAATAAATAATAATCTTTATAATAACTTTGTAATAACTTACATGTATGTGTTATTATATCAAAACACACACACACACACACACACATATATATATATATATATATATATATATATAAAATTGCAAAAATATTAAAACTTAAATTAAAACTTAAGACTTAAATTAAAATAAGTTGTTAATCAGTTTTAATATTTTTACAATTTTATATGTACACTGCTTATTGCTCTGTTATTATACAATACAATTATATATTATTTCATTTCTGAGAATTTTATTATTTTATCATTACATTATTTGATAAAAAAGAAAACATATTTGATATTATGTAGTCACAAAACATCAAAATAGATACAGAATTTTTTTTTAAATCACCCAAAGTTATTACGGCAATATAAATTATCAATAGAAGAATAAAATCGAAGTGATATCTTCAATCCGAAAATCGACTTCTTGTTCGTGCATTTTGCGATCGTATCGATAATTAATATCGTTCAGTATAGCCCGATTTTGTATATTGACATTTCGAGGTTTTACATGTATCGTCCTGAAATCTGCGATCATATTCATATAATCATATTTATTGACGCCATAAAAAATATTCTTACTTACGGGTTTTACGTTCGGCTTGAAGTTGACATATCTCGCGTAAAGTCTCAAGGCTCCTTATAATTCCATCATATTGCAATCTCATCAAACGCTTGCAACGTATCAGCATGGACACTAACAAATCGTCGAGTGATTCACGATTATTCCTAAGCTGCAGCATAACTTCAACTGCAAGAGAAGATATTTTTTCCTCATCCTATTCTGATAATAGGTATATAACGACAAGTACAGAATTTTCATTCAAAAAAATTCAATTTATAATTTATAAAGTTTATACAACAAGTGCATCAGTACTAATAAATATTTTACTTTATATCATTAATTAAATCTCTTCAAATTGATTAGCAGGTATAGTTTGTAAAATACCTAAGGTATTCGTGTATTGAGTAATTATCAGACCAATTGTGTTTCTGAAGTTACGGGATCTGCTCTGATCCCATACATGTCCGCTGAACATATGAAACTTGGCTAAAGGGACACTAGGTAGTAGCAAGTAGTACATATCCTCGTAATGTGAGATGTTCACTGGAAATCAGACTTGAAAAGCTGAATGATGCAATAATTCTGAGTAAGTCCGTAAATAATATATATATGAATGAAAATTAAATTTATTTTTTGTGAATTTATATAATTTCCAATTTAAGTATCTAAATCAAATAATCAATCAATATTAATCAAATACAAATAAATAATCTTAATATTATAAGATCTATTTGTATTAAATTAAATTTTATTAAATTTAATTTATATTAAATTTTAGAAAACTTTTATAATAAAAAATAAACTTGAGAAATGATCATATATAATAATTCTAGAAGTAAAAAAAAACAGATATAAAGATGAAATCTTTAACAAAAGTTAAGGCAATCGTAGAATATATATATAGGAACAATGTTATACCTATAGTATAGGACACTGTCAAGTCAGGACAAGCTAATACCAAGTTGCGCCAAGCAGCGTCCGCTACCATGTGTTGCCTAGAATCCGAATCTCTCACGGATATATACAGGTATTTCAGTGTTTTCGATGCTCCGCTGGCAAGAGCATCAAGAGCATGATTCGATAAAGCCGGATAGTCCAATTTCAACAGAGTTAGCGCGTGAAAACGACCTAATAAGCGTAAGTACCTAAAAAATAATTCAAACACATATCAATCACAATTTATATAAAATTGTTATGAATAAATCCTCAAGTTATGAAAATGCTCTTAAGATTTTCATTTAACACAATTAATTTAATTCTCATTTATATATTCACATAAATATTTTCTAATATTTTTACGTGCTTTGGATTGTCATGAGGAGCTTGCCACTCTCTGAAAGCACCGCGGAGATCTAGGGAGATTAAATGTTCGCCAGATCCTTTGGCAACTGTTCCAAGTAATCGCAAGACGTCAGTCACGCCAAAGTCGGCATTTAACAAGCTTAGGATTTCCAGGCTGCGTTGACTGCTGTATAAAACAGAAAAGGGATCTTGGGATAAGCTCTTGCATTTTATCAATTAAGGTCAAAAACAATTTGATTACCGCAGAAAATTAGCCAGGGCAGAGAGCAGTATTCCCCTATTGCCCCATTTGTAGCCGAATACCCAGTTCGTTAATGTCAATCGTCGTAGTTGTACGTCTTTGGCACGGACGATCGCGAGAAAATCGGCGCCCGCCTCGGCCTGAATGTTACGTCTGATCCTAATTTGTCTCGGTGAGATGTATGGTCGTGAAAAAGCGAGCTCCAGGCTGCGCATATGCTGTCCATATTTTGCCTGTCAATAACATTATGGGCAGTATTTATAGTCCATTCTTATTTCAAGACTATCTTAAGATGCTAATACGATCCTCTGATTGGTTTGTGACTTCTTAAGACTGTACCTAAGACGATCTTGAATATAAGCTCTGACTATGAATACCACTCTATAATATTTAATTTATATTATCAATACTAGTTATATTGAACGTAACATGTAATGACTTAATATAATGTAGTAAATTTTCAAGATTGTCTTAAAATGATTAAAGCGATTGAATCAGAGATCGATGAAGATTTTTCAAGAAAATTTCGAGAGAACTTAAATTTGTAAAAATATAATACAGTAGTGAGCTTCTAATTCTTACTATTGCAATCTTTATTTTCATCTCTCTTTTTTTGAAAGCAGATCGGCTTTTTCTCGAATTATACTTTCTTCAAATTCACGATCTTGATCTCACAACTCGAATTTCAAAATTCTAGATTTAATTTAAAGTCGCCGAAAATTTTATCGAATTTTAGCGAATGACGGAAAATTCTCTTACGGCCAGTTCTCCTGCTAGGGGGAAATCGCCGCGTAAATCGCGATCGATGAGAACTGTGACGGATCGCCAGAGCACAGGTGAAGACAGCGTGCGATTCCATGATCGACAGACTTGGCTGACGCTGGCGCGATCAGTACGATCAAGATAATCGAATATCTGCGTCAATATCAGCTCAGGTAGCTGATCCCACATCTCCTAGCTTCAATTTGGCTCACCCTCATCTCTTCTAAGCGATCGTTGGCCTAAATTACTGTTGGTCGTTTTATTTTCTTGATTTCATTGAATTTCGTCGATTGCTACTGTCAAAAACTATCGATCATGAAGGATTGGATTGAAGCATGATGGGATTGAAGTATATCCCGAAAGGAACTATACAGTGAGGAGAATAATAAATAGACAGATATATTCTTACATGGATAAATTCTAAATGGTTCAATATTTGGAGCTCTGACGAGGATATGGTCCTTTAGTTCCATAATGCGCATGATATGTATCTTTTATCCTTGTTTAACGTTCGATGAATAACAAAAATAAAATGTATCAGAATAATAATTGCCAAATTTATTGTACATATGATCTACAAAACATATGTAGATATGATATATAAATGAAATAAATATATAATGATATTAAATTAGGGATGACGATACAGTATGGATCTTTCGTAATAAGATCGGTATTTTTGAATTGAGATATCGATATTTTAGCTAGACGTCGATATTTTGAAATATCGATGCTGAATTTACCTTTTATCGATATTCAATATAGATAAAACTTCGGATATTTTCAATCGCAATTGTGCACGACTTGCTAATTTGCTGTTATGCCATAATCATTAATTTTGTATATCTATCATCAGTGTCCTTTATTATAAAAAAACATCTATTATACACAAATCTATTATACAAAATATAACTTTTTATTTTAGTTCCGAAAAAGTTTTTAATTGTAAATGTAATTAAGCTTGTAAAATTAATTTTCAGTCGTAACAACTTTACAGACCTATACGTCTTGAAGTTGGCAACTGTTTCCGAACAAGCACCGGTCAGTCAAAAAAGAAACCCACGGCGACATGTGTTTGTGCTTTTCACTGTGATTGAATTATAACTTGTAGTTTTGTGGAATTCATTTTTAAACACAAATTTGTTTGTTTCTTGTCATAAAAAATTAAAAGAAGATGAAGTAAAAAAGCTTAACGTCTTGTTTTGTATATTATTATTATTTATCGGAGAGGTTATTATTATATGACGTATTTTGAATTTAATAAAATCTGACATTATAATAAAAGCAGTAAAAAATAAATTGCCACGGGAGATATTAAAGCACGAAGAATGCATTTTCTAAAAAAATTGTCCTTTTCATTTAGTCGTATATTAAGAAATAACGTACGACGCACCCTAACCTCTCAATATGCTGCAAATGTGGATGTTGACAAAGATAAAGGTATGTATTTGAAATTTTATGAAGAATGTTGCAAGCAATCATAGGTTTGGTAACGCATGTTTTATTTCAGAGAAAACGATATTGGTGAAACAAATGGATAAAATCACTACAATCGGTATTAACCGTCCTGAAAAGAGGAATTGCCTCGATGTAGCGACTGCACATTTGTTATCAGAAACGCTAGATGAGTTTGAAAATAACAAAGAATCATTAGTAGGAATATTATATGGAGTAGGAGGCAATTTTTGCGCTGGTTACGATCTCAAAGAGATTGCAGATTATGATGGTGAACACGAGGAAAGCATACCACATTTTGGACCACTGGTATATTTGCATTATATATGAAGCTATGAATTTGTTAAGAATATTAAAAGTCTCTTTAGTTCTTTATAGGCAAATAGAACTCAATTATCCAAGAAGCCATTGGTAGTAGCTTTGAGTGGATATACTGTTGGAATAGGATTCGAGCTTGCTTTAATGTGTGACTTGAGAGTCGTAGAGGAGACAGCAATGGTAGGCTTCTTAAATCGACGTTTTGGCATTCCAATTTCATGTGGAGGCACTGTCCGTTTGCCTGCCATGATTGGATATTCCAGAGCTATGGATTTGATATTAACAGGAAGACTAGCTTCTGCACAAGAAATATTCAATTGGGGAATTGCACATAAATATACAACTTGTGGTACAGGTATGCTTCTTTTGGATTTATTTTAATTTTTATAACAAAAAAGGGGTTATATTGCAGAGAATCCAATGGTTTATAGAATAAATTATAATTATTGAGACAACATTGTGCAATATTTTCACTTATATACAGTAGAACTCCATTTATTTGAATATCAAAGGACAATTCTGATAACAGTTTGGGTAATAGAGATTCACTAAGGCTGGTATCCATAGTTAGTTCTTATATTTAAAAATCTTAAAACATCACAAATTAATTACAAAACCATATTAGCATTTTAAGACATTATATAAGATTGAAATAAGAATGGAATATGAATACCTGTTTAACTGTTCTCTCTCTATTTATTCATTCCAATAATAGAAGCTAATGTTCAGAAAACTCTGAAATCAAACAATTGAAGCTCTTATTATCTGAATAGCACTGTAATTTGGATAATAGGAGGTCAACCGAGTTTGGATATTTGAAACTGAGCTTATTCATATAAGTGGAACGCAGATAAATAGAATTTTATTGTACTTATAGATATTATTTCAAGTCATTTGATTATATAAAATCATTGATTTAAGTAAGTGTTTATCTTTAAGTATATTTTTTCTAGCTTTAGGTACAGCGATGAACTTAGCGAATTCTCTTGTAAAATTCCCGCAAAAAAGTTTGCTAGCAGATCGCGCTTCAGCATATTTTGCTACGTTTTCACCAAAACAAATAGAAGAGTCATTGCAGTTCGAGAAAGACAATTCTTCGCATTTGATATTGGAGGAAGGTGTTTTAGGCGCCAAAAAATTTGTCGATAATGGAATTGGAAAGCATGGGAAGTTTTATAATATCACGATGGAAGATAAGAGCATTCGAGAACTAGATAAAAATTTATTATAAAAACTTCTGGCGCATATGTGTATAATTGTATACATATAATGACATGTATACATATTTTTAGTATAGCTCTTTAATATGTGTAATAAATAAGTTTCTTAATTTTCATAATATATTTTCATTGGTGTGTGACAAATTGATTGTGTATGTATGGAAGGCTGAAAATGGTAGTGCTATACTATTATTTATGTTTTAAGTTACTTTGTTTAAATTTCGACTTGAAGTCTTGACTTGAATTAGTCTATTGAAGCAAATATGTTGAAAAAACTTTTTGTTTCTTGAAATCATACATAATTAAGTGATTTACACCATAACTATAACTTTTACCCCTTTATCCACATTACATATTTGATACATGACATCCATACATCTATTTTTTCATAGGGAGAGAGATTAACACTATAAATACATGCACTTTAATACAATTGTGATTGTAAAGTAATATTCTTTATTTATTAGATTTATTGTGCATTATTATACTTTTTGAGCATAGATTTAACGCAAGCTTTTGTGATGGTGATCTTTGGATTTTCGAGAAACTGTCGTAATATTTCTTAGTAACAGCTGCTTTTTCGATTAAAAGCGGGGTAAGATTTATCATTTGTCCATTTTCATCTCCTAAAAAATATCTCTTATAATTTTAATAATAAATAGAGTTACAATATTATTATTTACGTTCGAAAGTAACGATAAAATATGTTAAATCTGGTTGAAGAATATCTGTTCCACGTGTACAAGGTTCATAAAAAGTTATAATCTTCGGTTGACAATTTATTTCATCGCACAAATCGAACTCGCCTGCAAAAAAATTGTTTTCTACGAGATATTGATTTTTATGTTTATTTTAATAATTAAAAGTAATTAAAACACTTTATAATTTATCAAAATCGAAATTGTATGATATATCGGCAAAGTTATTGTTAAAGCGTAGTTAATTATTTCATATTTAAAAATTTTTATTTTATTTTCATTTACCATTCACACGTGCGACTTTTCTTATATAATTGATTATCATCTTAATTGAACAATTTATATTCACCAGTATCTCTCTATTTACAGTTTCTAGAAGTCCAGTGTCATCGCTATTTGATAAATATTCTGAAATTATAATTATAACATTATATTATGATCTATTTAAGAAGATAATGATTTCATACCAACGTATTTAACCTTTATGATAGTGGTCATGTCAAATGTTTGTCAACATCATAAAGTGTAACAAAATAGAAAATAGACTGCATATTCTTTTTTCAATGCATTGTTAATTTTATTTATGAATGCCATACAGAGTGTCTCAAAATTCGCGACTTAAAATAGCAAGAGAAAAATTAAGTAAAGAAGTTATTTGTAAATTTGTATATTAAGCAATAATTTTTCAGATATAAGGATTTAAATATGGCCAATTTCAAATTATGTTTAGAGGGGGCTTTTTTTCATTATCCAGCCAGAAGCGATCACAGCTAAGACTATCTTCGTCTTTAGGGATCTGAAGACGAAGATAATCTTAGCCGTGGTTGCTTCTAGTTGCATAACGAAAAAATACCAATGGCCTGTGATGGCTGTTAGTATTAGTGAACGCGCTGAAGTGAGCACTCATCAGAGCTTATTAATATTTGTGACTTATGGACCAGTGATCATTTAAACGTAATCTGTAATTGGCCATTTAAACTTAACTCAAACATTGCTGCTTAAAATAAAAATTTATAATTAACTTTCTTACTTAATTTTTCGAGAACTTTCGTACTATAGTATTATGAGTCGCAAATTTTGGAATACCCTGTATAAATAATATAAATTATACAATATGTTGCTCAATCTTTGCTTTAATTTAGTTCTTCGCTTTAGTTAAGATTGTACAGATTTTCGGAAAGAAAAAAAAAACAATTTTTAATTTCTCTTCTTTTCTTATGTTTTTTATTTTTTTTTATTTAGGTACTTAGCACCCATAAATATCTTTGCCATGAATGTATTTGGAAATCTGAGAAGTGCAAACTTCTAACTTTGCCTAACTTCGAATCATGCGTAACTTTTATTGAGATACTCGCTTATTGATTTTATTTATTAAAATTGTTTATTGCAACTTTTTCATTTTATCCTGTTATTAGCCCAAAATCGTCTCCATAATCTATACAATTCGTTTAGTATGCACTCGTCAGTAGTGATCAGTATTTGGATCATTATGATCATTATTGGTTTCCCCTCTCATTACATATCATTTGCTTTGCGAATTGTTTGTGATTTCATTCGCTACGCATTATGTGCTGTCTCACTTTTACTGTTTTAACTGTTTTCAATTGCTTATGCAATTACTAACGGTGTCCCAAATACTGGCAATCTGATTTTAAATGCTGTTTCGAATATATAAATTATATTATAATTATAATTGTATTTAATTTTACTTAAATTTTTTGTAAATGTTTACTTATAAGTAAAATTAAATACAATTACTCATAATATAATTTATATATTCAACAAAAGCATTCAAAATCAAATTGCTAGTATTCGGGACACTGTCAGTAATTAGGTTTTTTACTTTATACATTCATGATATAATACTCGAAATTGA